TCTGGGCCTAACTAGATATTACTATAATATTTCACATGCGCCTGAGTCCAGACTGTGTGTCAAACAAATCACGGTACACTAATGTTTATAAAAAAGTAAAAGGCCCATGATTCGCTAGTGGACGGAGTAGTGTTAGGTTACTCAGGCTCGTGGGAAATTTAGAACAGGTGCCTTCGGCTAGCAAAAGCATGACCCGCAAGTAGTGTGACGCTGATTGAAAACTACAATCCATTGGGAGCCAGAGTCCAGTTCATCAGATCCTACACTCTTTGGAAGGGGTAAACGTCGAAGTGTCCAATACACCTTGATGCCCAGTCGAGCCAGTGAAAGTGTAGCTCGTACGCCTCTTAGTTGAGTTAGAAGCAGAGTTTTTAGCCAACTCCCCTATGTGAACTGCCCGTGGTTAACCGACCGGTGATAGCCTCGGGTGTTGGCTTGCCAGTCCGGTTACTTTGGTGGAAAGGCAGTATGTAGGGCTTGATCAAACTAATGGCTACGGACTACCTAATCTCGGGTTAAGCAGAGCTGCCAGACGCGTCCCCAGGTTGTGGATAGGGGGACAACTTTACCAAAGAAGGTTAGTTGTGAATAAGTTATGGCATACCGCAACAAATGAGCAGTCGCAAACAAACAGCGGCGACACTACCAGGGTGTGGTGGGTTTCAGGCTGGTTACATCCGCAAACGCTGGTATTTTTATACTGATGCGAGTGATCACTCTATCGGCGCCGTCCTCTCACAACGGGGCCCAGATGGATCCGAACATGTCATTGCGTACGCCAGCAAGGTTCTGACGCCGCGGGAGCAAAATTACTGCACGACACGGAAGGAAATGTTTGCAGTCGTTCAATTTCTCAAACACTTCCGTCCGTACCTACTGGGTCGGCAGTTCCTCCTCCGAACAGACCACAAGTCCCTCTTATGGATCCAGAATTTTCGTGATCCTCAAGGATCAATTGCCCGGTGGCAAGAAATTATCCAAGAGTACGATTTTGTGAGCGAACACCGACCCGGCAACAAACATGGCAATGCAGATGCCTTATCTCGCCGACCTCTCCGCGCTCACGGTGACTGCCCCACCTGCACCAGTCCTGTTTAAAAGCCGCATAAGCCCAATGACGGTGTCGTGACAAGGGTCGATGTGACTGGCCTTTTAAAACTAAAGCCACTGACTCCCTCACTTCTGAGGGAGGGATTACTTCCTGCTGCCTTGCAGTTTGCACTTGGTTGTGCTAAGGCTAGAGGTGCGCCCTCAAAATAAAAATTGCCGAGTGACGCTGGGGACGACTCTCGCACCAAAATTCCGAGTAACTTCATAATCATGTCTTCTACAGTGGAAATCAGAGATATTCACAGAGCCGGCTTATCCCTTTCAAGAAACCAACCGTAGTAAAATTTAAAAAAGTCCAATCGGGTGATATACCTTAGAATGTGATGGGCGGAACTGAAGAAATCTCGCGGGTCTTACGAGGAAATTTCTTCGTGTGCCAGATTATTCAGCAACTGACCTTCACAGTGTTGCAAGGATTCGCTACTGATTCAAGTGTAGAGTGAATGCTCAATTCTCGACTAAATTCTAGTTAGTAAGCAGACGATATTGCACTGTTGAGTGGAGATCCAGGTAAACTGAAAACTTCTCTGGATGGTTCGAGTGTCAGTGTACAAAATAATTTTACAGCATTAAACAGGTCAAGCTCCCAACTTCACACCATCAAAGGTACTTGAGGAATCAGACGGATTTTGCAATTGTTCAGCTACATCTGGCCCGATAGACGCATCACGGATGAAATTTCGATAGGCATATAGAAGATTAGGTTGGTGTTAACCAAATCGAGGCACCTCAAGCGCCACCACAACATTCGGTTGACTGTAAAGGGTCCAGTGTACGACGCATTTGTCTGGTAGCTTTTTTGCATGGTACTCGGACATGGTTTTTACGGAAACAGTACAACGAGAAATTATACAAACTGAAACAAGCTTTTCCCGTGCTAAATTTGAAAAGAAAAGCCAGTATGGCAATATTGCACGATTTATGTCCTGGATGATTTCGCTGCATCTCCACTGGTGCCTACTGCAGACAAATAGAATGTTTATATATGGTTTGGGAATGAATTACAAAATAAACACTTGTAAATGGAGGGAGGCGTAACCAAGGCAAAGCCAAGGTGATGAACAAGTCTTTTTGTTGACAGAATTTGTTTCCATCGGTTGATTGCAATCGTCTCGGCTATCTTGAGCATTCTGGTGTTATCATTAGTAAAAATCACTCGAAATGCTTTCTCGCGATCCACGAGGTGTTGCGTCACCAACAAGTGCTTAGCTATCGATGAGCTTGGTGGTTTGTAAGCACGAACCTTACCAGTTACCGGCTTTGTGGACTTTATTATGACAACCTTGCGTTGAACCCAGTTCGGAATGTGTTCTAAAACCCGATTACGTAATTGCTTTTCGGTTCTGCCGGTAACTGGTAAGGTCCGTTGCCAGAATATGTATAGTCTGTGTAGTATTTTGTCATTCTATGTTGATCTGTTTCACGAGCATAAATTTAAACAAGGATGATGTCCATTAGTGTCGTTCCGCAACAAATAATTTGTGACCCAATTGTGGTAAGCGGATGTATACCACCAAGCCTGATGTGAAAACCAGTTCACATGTGTTTGTTAACAGCACCAGTCAGACAGGGCTTAGGCAAGTGAATGAGGATATATGCGACTCTCGTAAACCAAGAGGATACACTAACTTGGGCACAGTGACACGCAAGCAAACATGCAATCGAACTTTCCAGAAAAAAATTGTGTTTGTATGGATATTCCAGTCTGCCACTCATGTGTAGGTTAAGTAACGATCAATAGATAAACCATCGGGCCCAAGAACATGACGATGGAGGTTAGCAGGAGAGAGGGAGAGAGAGAAACCGAGGGGGGATAACAGCTTAAAGTCAGGACAGTGGTAGTCCTCGATCGATGTTAGATGATGATGACACTCGCCACAAAACATATCGCAAAACGGGACAACGGATGTGCAAAACCCGTCAAATCAGCCTGACTGACCATGAACACATGACGAGGAAAGAACCCAGGAGTCAATAGGTTCGCTTTTGGGTCTCTCGACGCTAGCGTCACCGACTTCAGCGGCACACACATACGCCAACACGTCAGTGGTAGATATATGCAAACACACGAGATCAGTGTAATCACACCCGATCATCCGACTGTCTTGGGAAGTCCAAATAGCGAGGTCGATAAATTGATCGATCCATTCGTCCAATCATTCAACACAAACAAGAATACACACTAGTTCGCGCTGTGTGAGAGTGGGTGGTGCATCAGTTAAGTCAGACGAGTACCGCAACCGAGGAAATTGGGAGGTGATACTTGGCAGAATCCGGGGGGGGGGGGGATGGAGGGCTGGTGGAAGCAACGACAAACAACTAAGTGAGAATTGCCGTCGGAGATCATTTTTCACGGCGTACGCACGCGCACCCGTACTCCCCAGAGAGATAGAGGCAGGAAAACTATTCTTCGTATGAAGTTCGTTTGACAAGCAAACAAATAAAGCGCGTTGGTCGCTTTCAAACACAGCGTCATTGCATTTCGAAAGCCCTCGTTTTCATATATTGAGCAAACACACACACATTCTAGTACCAAGTAGCAAGGTTTTAATTAAACGAAGAGACTCCTATGAACACCGATAGAAGCAGGCATGCACAAGTCAAACGCTTATCAGAAAAGGTGTAGTTGAGAATAGTAGACAGTTAAAGGATAGTTAGATCGGAATTGGACCGCACTTCAGTCGTATTTGTGTCTAAGAAAATGAAGAAAAAACCGTTTGAGATCAAC